GAATTTTGATGGGATAGGGATCATAACAAACACATTAACCAAACATCAAACTCCTCACGAGAGTCCACATAATTGTTGAACTGACAATTATTCATTTGAAGCATCACAATGCGAGGGACCACACCAAACCCGAATAGAAAAAGGGAACACAACAAACCTAAAATCCATATTCATTGAGATAATCACCAAGCCTCTCAACAATCATATTGCACTGCCCAAGAGTCATTAGCTCATCATAAATGCCGAAGATCAAAGCAAGATTAGTTTTCTTGATTGTAACACCTCCTGCACCCTGAAAGAAACAAGCAAACAACCAGTTCAATTATGTTAAGGATAAATATCTTTGTATGAAAACAGAGCATAAAAACCATGAATAATTTTATTCTATCTCTTTTCTATAACAAACAACTGGAAATTTCATCATGTGCCACAATACATGAAACAGATGCACCTAATAACGAACAAAGTTGTCTAATTTGATCAAGGCCATAGTGTGTGATTATACCTAGAGTTCGAGTTCTTCCATAAGTAACCAGAAGCAAAATACATAAGGGCTAATTATTTTTATTGGTCAAACAAACATAATATGTTCATCCTAGCAGCAGATATTAGCCTGGAAATTTTACTCATTATTCAGTAACTTAACAAATATTGCATTGCCCAGGAGTGTGAAATTAACCCCACAAAGTAACATAAAGGTCACATTGCATGAGAAATTTATCCTTGAAATCCACCAGTTACAAGAAATTTATCCTTTACTGCCAATGTACTAATTTGGGTCTTAGTACAGCCTTCTAACAAGCTTCCTAGGTGTTTCTGCAAGTGTAATACAACAATGAACAGATTACTGTCGTTCAGAGCTAAAACTGACCAGAGAGCCAAAACAAAGAGCATAAACAAAAGGCGATAATATAGCAACTTTACTAAATGGTAACTGCATCAACCTCCGATGGCACCACATGCCCTGATACATTCATCACTTCGCATGCTTTACTTGTTAAGGCTGACCAATGCATGACAGAATAATGTGAAATGAGGTAACATCATGCTTTGATGCAGCCCAGACCAAATTCCTCAGCTGAGAACATAGAAGATGTGATCCATCAATCTCAGATATACACAATAGAGAAAAATAAATTAAAAGAATAACTAAGTTTGGAGAATAACCTCACATGTGGAATATGACCGATGTTAAGAAAACATGAGCGTTTCCATAGGAAGCTAGATAAATAAATATACTTAGTACAAGGATGGCTTGAGGAACCTCATCAGAAGAAAAGCATGATCATTGGTTTCCATAAAAAAAATTCTGGAAATAAAAAGTCACCACCTAGAGTACCTATGGTATGAGTAAAAAGTAATTTTTTTATTGCACAATCTTCACGTAATTCTACGTGCTAAATGTTGTCCGATTAGTAAACCTATTCCCAAAAGCAGAACTTATGTATGCATATATTAATCCATCTGTTCAAGTAGCAGATAAACTAATTAATACCAAAGTAAAATACACATACAACAAGATTTTGAAACCTAAACAGGAAACCTTCAGCTGACCTGAAAGTGAAGAATAGTTGGTTTCACCGACCTCGTGTTGTGCTAAAATTCATAGAACATACCCCCCTTCTCCGTGGGTTGGCATTCCTATATACAAGGATATGCATTTAATAAAAAAGATGATGAATTAAAATGCAAAAATAATGTAATAAATCTGATGTAGTGAACTATGCCTTTTCTGATGCTTCTCCAGAGTTCGGTATGTTCTCATAATTTTTGTACTGTTGTAATCTGGTCTACCTGTACTTTTCCCTTGCAATATGCAACTTATCCCAAGGAATTCCCTGGATATCTTTTCCTTCCTTTGCTTGTTGAGATGTTATATCTGATACATAGACATGCTGCATCAATTAAACAAACGTTCTTTAGTAAATTTTGAACATAGTACTTTTATAAACAAAACAAATTTATCTCAAACAGTAGAGATGATATGAACTAGTTCACGTAGACCGTCTCACTCTTATATGCATAGATCAATCGGAGGTTTTAATTACGATACGCAGGAATAATGATCAACGTAGGATTGTATACCTATCCTTCTTTGTTGAAATACTTCTCAAGGTCACTACTGATAAATCTTGTGGACAGGAAGAATGAACATTCACATTTCAGTCTATCTAGCCATGCACCAGGACTCAACCATCTAACAACTGTACAGTGTATTAATTTGTAATCAAGTCTTCTACAAAAACTTTAACAGATGCAAGTGTTCTGTTGAGTATTAGATTTTCTTCATGAGAAAAATCAAATACATCTGTTGTAGATAAATGTTAAAAAAATAAATGGATTACTTGGTTTCATTCACTCTGGAATCAAAAACCTCTAGATTACTGACAAAAACGTTTTCCATCTAAAAGAACAAAACTAAACCTTTTCCATCTAAAAGAACACAAATCAAGGGTGTTGTATAAAAAATAGTAACAATTTTGAGCCCTAAAATCCAATCAATTTTCAGTCAAAATGGATTCACATCACCGGCGGTTACTGTACTAACCTCATCGCCGCTCTAGCCATGAATTCGGCACCTTGTATGAATCCACTGTGATCTCGCTCAGCCAATAACCAGGCGAAAGCATCTGCAACCCTAAAAGATTAAATCTTTTTGAAGTCAAGACCCAAATTCCACCGAAATTTGATTCAAAACTCAAAAGAGGATCGTCGGAGACTTACATCGACCTGCTTCGGAAAGCTCCTTGGCCTCTTCTTCAGCCTCCAGCAAGCCCTGGCTCCCGTCAACACGTAGACGTCCTTGTCGATCTCCTCCCTCGTCAATGAAACAGAAAACGTCGGCCTCTCTCTCCTCTCAAAAGAGATCTGGAGAGGTCATACCGACGCAGGCGACGAGGATAAGGACGAGGGCGACGACGGAGTAGATCGAGTCCATGACGTCGCCGCCGCCTCGAGGTTTTCTTCGAGCTGCTGCCGTCATCGTTGGGATTTTTTAGAGAATGAGAGACGAGAGAAAGAGAGAGAGAACCGAGAGAGAGAACGGGAGAGTGAGGGCGGGTTTAAGGCGGGCGCGATGCTCGCGCATTACCGGCCTGTTTATCCTCTTTTCATTTCAGACCCGCCCATTTAGACCCATTTAACTAAATGGGTGGGTTTTGGGTGGGCCAACTGATGGGCGGGCAGGACGGGTAATTGGGTATGGGCCATAATTGCCATGCCTAGTCTAGGGAAAATTGAGAAGATGGCTTCTAGGGGAGAGAGGGACTATCAAGGGTATGAAGCTCAGAGAGATGATTGAAGGGAAAAAATTAGGCTCTGGTATTATGGAAAGGAAGAAGGAGAATTCTTCTAGGGGTCGGATGACAATTTTTTATTTGCCATCTTTTTGCAGTATTTTTTCACAGAAAAAAACAATCCTATATATAGAGGCAATATCCAAACCATCTTCACCCTAAATCTACCTCAAAAATCTGCCAGAGATATATTCTCTTTAACCAACACATAAACCATGATTATCTCAACAGATATCTGACTTTTAACATATTTTAATTTGGTTGATTTGATCACATTTACTCGGGTCAAACTGACAACTAATCTGTTGCAGCATAGAAATGGATCGATTACAATTTCAGATTCTTTTATCCATCGATAGATTCTAGAATTTTGTGGACTTTAGACTGATTTAAGCCGTTAGGTTACATGAGGGTAACAATTGGTCTGATTGGGTCAAAGTACGAGGATAACTGAACCCAACCTAATTAATTATGGGATCAGGTACTTTTAACCCTTGCCTGATATTCAGGTTACTTGTACCTAACCCGTAGGACCCAGTTATAAAGCTTCATAATTGGTATGTTCTTATTTTCATTTTGAGTCTTTACGTTCATTATATTTGTTCAGTTCTTTTGATTTTTCTCCCAATATGAGAAAGTTGCGGGATTAATACCCAACCTAAGGAAAAACTCAAGGATCTTATGTATGTTGTATTGCATGCGTACACATAGACTCACTAACACTTCTGCACACGCGCACACCTACACAAAAAGATATAATGTGTTAGCCATATGGACCAAAATTAGGCCTTGCATGACCTGTTCGCAATTAGGGCTATTGGGCTAACTTGAATGCAGAACTTTTTTTATCGTAGGATTCGATTAAGAGTGTGTTTGGGGAGCATATGTGTTTGGTCAAACTAGCTTTTAAATTAACATTTTCATATCTACTTGTTAAAATACCAAATAAGTTAGCTTATATGCCCCACTTTAGAAAGCTGGTATACCCCAACTTTTAAAAAATTAGCTTATAAGCTCACCTAAATAAGCTAAATTTGACCAAATAAATTACTGTTCTGCCCAAACTATTCTTGTATAATTTTTATCATAAAAACCAAAAGAACCAAAAGCTAACACAGCTTAAAAGCTTCTAAAAATAAGCCTCTCCGAACACCCTCGAACTCATTGGGCTAGGTCAGGAGTTCCATCCCAATAATTTCTGTGATTTGGTTTTTCCAAAGCTGTTTAAGTATTTAATTAACACCTACCAGTTGAAATTACTTTTTTTTCACTTTAATCGACAACTATCAAATTTTGATATGTTTGTTTTGACTTTTTATACTACTCGATCAATCATATAAACAGTAGTTTTAAAATTTTGGATATAAATTTAAACATGAGGCATCTCTTGACATATTTTGTTTATTTGGAGAATCTCTATAAATTAAACATGTGGCATCTCTTGATATATTTTGTTTATATAAAGAATCTCATTGTCAATAACTCTCTAATTTCCAACATCTAAGTTGTCAAAGGAACTGAGTCATCATACTAGTCACTGCATATGTTGCATCCATGTCTGTGATATATGACATAAAATTATTAATCCTCATTTCTATGTCTTGTGAAACTTGATATTGAAGATACTCCCATATGTATCCATGATTAAATAGAAGATTAGCTAGATTTAATAATTTTTTTCGCCTTTGCTCACTTCTGTAACAGGAAGGAGCTTCAGATGAAGACATTCGCCAACTTCCAAAATACAAATTTTGGAGAACTGGTGATTCTGAGAAACTTGGTAGTGAGATGTCAAGATCATCAAGTGGAATAATGACTGAGTGTGGTAGTGATCCCCTGGTTGAACATGCTCTTTCAGCGGAGGATTCGGTATGTAATTTCTATAGCTTCTCTCTGCTATTACCCCTTAAAAGGCAATGTTGTAGTCTTTCATTCCATGTATGTCAGATGCATCTGGCTATAATTCAAATCTTGTCTGTGGTTACCTTTAATTCCATTGTAGCAGTCCGTACGTTGCTAGCTGATGACTATTACAACTTTCACTGAAATATAGAAATATAATAGTGAAGCTGAGTACATATTTCATCATGAACAAAAGGTATTACACTCACATTAATTTTGCTTAAAATACTGAAATTTACGAACATACCTCTGAACGTATGCTTGAATTTCTTTACGCATTGAAGCTTTGACTGAATCTTGAAACTTTCCTGCAAATGTTGAAAATTATCTTTTGTCATTTCTTTAGTTTCGTTTTTTTATTAGTTGAAAATGTGACTTTTGTTTGCTTTTTTATCAGTATAACATACGTAAATTACAGCCCCCTGGCACTCGAGGCGTTTGGCAGCCCCTAAACCTTAAGAATTAGAAAAAAAGACCCATGCACTTTAAAAAACTATACAAAATCCGCAGAACTATTGGAATTGTCATAAAGGGCATTAATGTGAAGGGTAAAGATTCAAAACCATCCTTATCACTCTCTACCTACCCAAATTTCGAAAATTCTTAATAAAGTTAAAAATTACATAGGCCAAAATTGTACCATCAGTTATTGTACTTCAGTAAATTAAGTTCAGGAGGTTATTATCTAAAGTTCAGGAGTTTATTTATTTATTTATTCAGAGGGCATCTTGTGGATGACTGTCTTAAACCTGGAAAACCAAATAGGATATATCCCAAATCATATTCCCTAACCCTAACCCTAACAATACTTTTGGTCGAATGTCTAACATGTGGGGTGTTGTGTAGGAATGTTGCATATGCCTTTCTGCTTATGACGATGGGGTGGAGCTACGAGAACTCCCCTGCGGCCATCATTTCCATTGCATCTGCATAGATAAGTGGCTTTACATCAATGCTACGTGTCCCCTCTGCAAGTATAATATCATAAAGTGCAACAACCAAGGACGAGAAGGGGCATAGATGAAAGGCATAATTCAACTTATAGAAGCTCTTTGTAGTCTTTTTATATGAAGATCACATAATTTTTTAGATTCATAGTGTTCATTGTAAAGTAGGATGTTCAGTGTGACATCATAGTGTAACTATGCATCGTTGTGCTTGAGTTTGTACAGCAGCTGCTCTTGAAAACAGAAGAAA